AACATAACAAGATAAGGTCAGGACGAGTAGAACGCACTGCCTGAGAAAAAACAACAGCTCTACGCGTGCCACAGGCGATCCGGTTCTTAATACACAGGTGATAGCTACATTAAAGGGGGACGAAGGCGCTTAGATCGCATATTAGCCCTCTGACGTATGTGGGATCTGAGCTGACCTCATAAAATCCTGTTACGTTTTTGTACGGGTCAGGTCGTGTGTGTCACGCGTAAACGAGCAATTTACCTTGGGCAGCCACTGTTCCCCAACCCACCGTCCTGTCGTCCTGACACTGCTTTGCCACCAGGCCCCGGGGGGAGAGAGTACAGAAAATGGCGCGCTAGTCGTCCCACTTTCAACTATCTCACTCCCAAGTCACCCCGCCCTGCGTCCGCTTCGTGGTGGATGTTGTCGCATGCAACGGTCAAACTGTCATGGCGAGGCGTTGTGCTGGGGTCTCGAACGTGTTGTTTTACTGAATTTTGTGGTAGATGCGCATATGACCAAGTATCCTGGGGACAATCTGAGCAATTTGCGCAGTGTATGTGAGAGAGTGAGTGATACGCTTTATTTTGAAAATATCATTCCAAAATTTTCAGCAAAAACATCCCCTATTCTAAAAGGATATAATTAGGCGCAATAACTCACAACAACGGGATATCAAAAGTTATCCCTTAATCGCGAATGACTGCAATCTTCAACATCATGGAAAAATGTCCTAGGAAAAATTTTCAAATACAGTAGTCGCCGGCTATTAAGCCCACCTCGGGCCCAGACCAAATTTGGCTTAATAGGCGGCTGGGCTTATTAACCGTGGCTTAATACAGTAGTCGCCGGTTATTAAGCCAAATTTAGGCCCAGACCAAATTGGGCTTAATAGGCGGCTGGGCTTAATAGCCGACGACTACTGTATAGGTTAAATTGGACTCCATTCAAAACAGCGCTACTCTTGTGACTTGTGCCCTCGAGACCTTATTGTACTTCCAATAAACAAGAAGGGATAAAAATCGGTTTATAATGGGCGAAGTAGACGAACAGACGTGTTTATAAGAAAATATGCATGCGACTAGAGGGAGGGGGAAATGGCGGCTCAAATTAAAAAGCCCGCACACTAATGTTCCCCGAAGGATTCAGAAGTGAGTAATCAAACCAGTCGTATCAAATGATTTGGGCTCGTCTATACCTGTTCTTACCCTAAATGAGACCGACAACGGGTAGTGCAAAATATGCCTTCCTATAAGTCTCGTACATCTATCTGCACATGTCCTTACTGCCTATCCTAGCCAGTGGCATAATGCAAAGCTTAGATTCAGTCTAGCCAGATTCCAGAGCGGACATAGTCTGCGGCGCATCCTAAAATTCCAGCACTGGTACCACCAACGACCACCGGTCATCTGTGTTGTGCAATTTTCTGCGGATTTCAATTACTTTCGTCGTAAGTGGACGGTGAATTAACCCAAGTCTCACATAGATGAAATTCTAACATCACTCTAGTCCTGTCCGTGTTATCGTGCCTTACCAGGTGCTTGTTGGTCTTCGTCAAGGGAGAACAGAGCTGGTCGATTTCGCAGAACCCGCCTCGAAGGTTATCGCGAGTGACGACGCATTAAAATAGCATTACACTGAAGAGTAGCCAGATTAGTCATGACCTCAACCCTATCGGGTATGAGTACTTGCCATGTATGAGCCCCTTTGCAAAGTTTTATGAGAGACAATATCTGTCCTAAAAGAAGAATTTTTGGCAAACTTCGTCAAAATACCGTTCTGTCCATTCAGTCCACCGCGCACCAAAGTGTGTGCAGATAGCTAACGAGATATCTCGGTACTCCCATTTTGAGCGAAGATCAAGATCTAACAACTTCTTCGTACTGAGACCTTTGCAAAAGCTCCGAGCCGAAGATAAGCTTGTTCGGTGTGGTTTAGGCAGTCAGCAGCGTTACAGCACTCTTAAAAGATGGCTTTATTTTCAAACCACAACTGTGTCGTCATCCATCTCTCATAATCTCGTCCTCTTTCTGCCATCGTAGCACGGTAGGCGTGGGATTAGGCGAATAATATAACCGCCCCACGGGCTTTCTTTACTACAGGTCACGGCACAAGCCTGTAGTATAAACACCACTGCCTTGTAATTTACGTTGACATTGTCGCTATTCATTTTTATTGGGTAGTTGGGAGTGCTGTACTAGAATGGTTTTTGGGAAATTTCTTCCGAGGTGTGTGAAGTAGCTTAGAATTCGCGGGTAGACGCGAAATGGTCTTCCCCATAGACTTTTCACTGAGGTACTGCTGCCAAAATTGGGAAGATATATTTTCATTCTCCATATACATTTACTTGAACGCCCGCCTCCCTTTTCTAGTCGATGTTAGCATTGCACCTCGCAAGATTGCGTACACTACTTGCCTAGGACGTTATATAAATTCCCGTTAAGTGTTTATTTGGGTGCTTATAGGTAACATGATCCGATTTCGTTACCCGGGATAATTCATTGGAACTGGGGCTTCGTTCGCTTGCATGTTATCATTTTGGCACTAATCCCGGGCGTCATTTTCGTGCGGCAAAGCTAACCTTAAAATTTGCTTTTCTTTCTATTCTTGTTCTGTAGCTTGTCTGCCTCTATATGTATGCATATAAGTTCCTGTTTCCTATGACGGTACAGCTTATTCATTTATTCATTTTTACTCACCTTCGTCATTTACCATCTGCTATTCTGTGTAATTACACTTTTTGGAGCCATTTCTCATTTTGACGTTTGCAGCCTTCATCGGTTGTGTGGTCTGTTTTCAAATATTATACAACCAGTCACTTATTAGCACAAGCTTGTAGCAACTTCGCTTTGTTGTTGTAAATATCGTTAGCGATTTGTTTGTCTTATGCATTTCTTTTCACATGCTCACTTTGTAGGATTAGTTTTTCAACTTAGCAATATTTTTGCTTATTAAGAGACGCGCTTATTGTAGATTTTTAGTCACTCCCCACCCAAATTGCCCTCTTTACATCGGTCTCATAGGATTAGTGCCCCTTGTTGCCAATTTTCGCGGGGTGTGATTGTACCACAATCTAACCCTGGTCGTTGTTGTTTCGCCTCGAGACAGTCCTGAGTCTCGTTTCCATCGAGTTAACTGTCGTGGTTATAAACCCCTCTGCGTACCGTCTTCCGCGTACGCCCCTGGTGTGCTCCTAGGTATTTGTAGCCTTTTACTGCAAACAACGTTAGCCCTCCTTTGCATCACGTGTTCCTCTCCTCTCCTCTCTCTCTCCCTCCTTTTTTGAATACAGCTTTGTTTGGAGCCCAGCCGTTCAGCTGGATGACTGCCTGGCCTCCTTCTTTGCGGAGGACGAACTAAGCGGCGAGAATCAGTACTTCTGTTCGCGGTGTGCAAAGTACGTTCCCTCTTCCAAAATCTTGGGGGGCTTGCTGGCTCTCAGCATTTATCATGTACTTGGCCTTTCTTCCCTCCCCCTCCCCGCGCACAATGCGTTTAACCCTCTTGTAACATTTTTGCGTTGAGAAGAGTAATTGGCAAGCATAAGTAAGTT